ATTAAAGTTAAACGAGGAACTATGAGATTAAGTGAATGGATGAAACGACAGTCTTACTGAATATCTTGCGAGATGATTGACGGATCGGGTGCATAAGAAACCCTACCGTGAACGTTGTCTCATATCAGACGGGGTATCGAGACTTAGTAATTTGGCGTTCATACCGGACGGGATATGAGGATGGCGCGTTTCACCTTCATACTGGATGGGGTATTGAGGTTTTGTAATTTGGCGCTTATACCGAACGGGATATAGGGACGTCATGTTAATTAAAAATATTAAATAAAAGAGTTCACACGTTATGGTAACATCCCTATGAACCCTCATGGATACCAGTAAGCTAATAAAAGAAAAAATTGTTGTTCAAACCAATTGCATATGAAGTCATGATATGTGTTATTTATTGCCTCTATAAGTTATTTTTGTAAATCTCACTACGGTAAGTAGGCGGTAAACGTTTTTGTTTATAATAAATGAATTTGCTTAATTAATAGTTTCATTAGTTTTTTTTTATTTTTTTACCAACCTTCATTTCTTTATCGGTGAGTAGTGTGATATTCTTACTGGGCTAGTGTAGTTCATTTCTTTATTAACAATTTCATATCAAGAAGACCAGGATTCAGAGTCCGATCCACAAGAGAATTGCGAGTAGGATGCCCGATTTATTTATTTTCCTTTTATTTCCTTAATTTTTTGTATTTCCTTCAAATGGTAATTCTTGTAGCACTATTTGGTACTTTAAGTTATTGTGTAAAGAATGTAAACCCTAATTAATTATTTCATTTTCGCACTTAATTTATGATTTATTTCTTTTGAAATTATGGGGTCATTACAGTTGGTATCAGAGCCGCGTTTCTCGGACCCATTCCTTACACAAAATTCTTAGAAAACACCAAAAACAATGAATTATCACTCAACCGTTCCTTGTGAAATGCATGTACAGATAGATGAGAAGAGGAAGACCCCCACTAAACTGAGCAGCCTGGGAGGGTTTGCTTAGAGAGGATATCGACCGATTATTTGAGATTCTGGAGAGACTCGTCGTTGCCCAGTAGGCCCGGGAGGAAAAGAGAGAGCTACCTGACCCCCTTTTGCTGTCACAAGTTGAGCCACCCATGTAGCGAGAGTATCTCAAGCCACCCCAGTACGACCCTACTCCTCTACAGTACCACCCGGCACCACCACAGTATGATCTGGTGCCCCAGTCACAGTACCACCGGCACCACCACAGTATGGCCTGGTGCCTCAACCACATCATTCGGCACCACTACAGTACAATGCGGTGCCTCCACCATATCATCCAGTACCACCGCAAGACCATCTCGTACATCCTTAGCACAGTCTAGTCCCTCTTCCACGGGACTCATCTTCTCTTATGATGGACCCAGACTACATCGAGAGGTATAAAAGACTAAACCCATCTATTTTTGCAGGAAGATCCTCATTTGAAGAGGCCGAGTACTGGTTAGCTGAGATAGAGAAGGTCTTCGCGGCTCTTGGGGTAATTTTTAAATAGAGATTCATCCTTACTACCTACATGCTGGTGGGAGAGGCAGACCGCTGATGGCAACTCAAGCAGGCCACCTTGCTATTTCCAGTCACTTGGGAACAGTTCCTGATAGCTTTTCATGTAGAGTACCTTCCAGAGTATCTCCGACATCTAAAGAAGATGGAGTTTGCACACTTGGTCCAGAGGGACATAACTGTATCAGAATATGCTCATAATTTTTTAGAGTTTGGTTGGTATTCCCCTGAGAGCATGATGGATGAAGGCAGGAAGGCTAGAAGATTCGAGTAGGGTCTCCGTCTTGAGATCAGACAACAGTTGTATGTGCTCGAGCTCAGAACTTATTCGACTGTTCTAGCCAAGGCACAGTTAATTGAGTGGAACCTTCGTACTTCCCTCTAGTAGTAGGGAACCTCATGCCCTCGGCTCCACACCGCAGACCAACACCTATTGCACCTGATCAACAGAATAAGAGACCTAGGTTTCTCCTCAAGTTTCAGCAGTAGGGCGTAGTAAGACCTGTCAGCACTGTGACAAGGATCATGGGGACCGATCCTGCTATCGTCTCAACAACACCTGCCGTATATGTGGTAGCACCCAACATTATGCAAAGGAGTGCCCGAGAAACCAGAACCAAGCCAGACCTCCCATCTAGAGCACAGCTTACAACCTCACTCAGTAGGATGCAGAAGTCGACCCAAACG